TGAAACGGGCAAGTGTTGCCAGTCGGTCAGACGAATGACCTTTGGAACAAGTTCCAAAAAAGGCAACTCCGGCGCCGCGTCATCCCGTCTGACCGACTGGTTTGGAGTCTGAGCCTGGAAGCGACTTTCAAGTGCCTGCGCTGAACGACCATGTTCACCCGGGTATGTATATTCGTGCTTTCCTGGATTTATTAAATCCGAGCCGTTCAATGAGTCAGGTAAAAGAAAGCGGAACAGTAGGGCCGTTCACTCCCAAGACCGGGTCATTTATCCCGTCGTTTATTAATGGTGGAAAATTACTGGGCACGCCAAGGGCACGCCAAGGGCACGCCACGGAAGCCCTGAGGCCTGAGTATTAGTTAACCTGCAGCTGACGTTAATGTTGTTGAAGGTGGAGAATATTAATGACTGCTTCTTATAAACCGTCGGAGTGACAATCTCACAAACGGGGTTAACTTGAATGTAATGGGTGATTCCGTGGCTCCAGCTCAAGCCTAAGTTTTGTGTAGTTGAAGACCATTCGATAGTGTCACGCTGGTCAGGTAAAACACCTTAAGTTCAAGATCACGCGTTCGCCAGACTTTTGAACTACTGTACTTTTACGACCAGATGTTCGTAACGCGTAACGCATCGGTTGAATGTGAACAATTAAAAATGAACTGTAACCCGTAACATCTAGGATTGAACAAGAAAAGGTTACATAGGAGTTATAGGTTTAAAAAAAGTGTTCTAATCTAACTCTAATGCTCCTCAAAGTCTTTATAACAATAATCAGCTGTCTTACGCCATCTCCGCTGCTCGTTCTCACTCGCCGGAGGTATATCAACGTCTCCGGGCTCAAGCTTGCCAAAGTCGGCATGTACAGCAGCACCAACCGAGCTCGGCCCGGCCTTTGTGTCAACAGCAGCGGCATCACTGTCTGAAAACGGGGACTCCGTTGCCTCCGTGTCGGCACTTGCTGCTGCACCTAGTCTGCTCTAACTGGACTCATAGTCGGACTGTATCTTGTCCCATAACTCAAGATGGGTGTCGGGTAGATTGCGGATGGTTCGAAGGGATGAGGGACTTTTAAGCGATTCAAATGAGAGATTGAATCCGGGATGGCCAGGGACAATACAATTCTCGAAAGCCTTTTGAGTTCGGTTAACAGAAAATCCAAAATGATCCTTGAATTAGACATACCTTCTGGATAAGAGTCGCACTGTTGACATCTTCCAGGCCTTGACAAACCAAGCAATGCGTGTGCTCAGGCAGTGTCTGATGCTCAGGGTGGTCAATAGTGATGGATTTACAATGCTGTAACGCGCAGGCAAGGTCAAGGGTCCGAGAGCCTCGGGCGGCAGTTGAACAATGTGTAACGCGTAACCCGGCCATTTGAACAATCCACAGACTCGACTATTGAACATGTAACACTGTAACGCTCTCGACCATTGAACATCTGGTCGTAAAAGTACAGTACTGTCTTTTTTGAACTTGATTTCCGTCACACGTCACGTAAATTTCTGTTGAACTTAAAATCGTGTAGCTACAGTATTTTACGGCTGAACGACGTTTTGCGGATGGGACTGGGCCTTATGCGACATGATAAAGAGAAGGTGATGATGCACAGTCGACGATTACGGGGCAAGTGTCATCGCGGCGGCGGAACCCGCCGCGGTCACAGCTGACCGACTGTGACCATGCACCATATATGGCAAATTTTTGGTCTGAACAAGCACATGAGAAGAAACATGGCTGCCGTGTTGCGCTGCAACGCACTGTAGCAATTTTTACCGAGTGGCACGGTCGACTGAGAACATCGCGGCGGAGCGTCGTCACGCGGAAGCAGCGTGGGAAATGTACACACTGCCGACCCGCGCCGCCCCTAATGACATTTGCGCGGAGCTTAAAAACAGCGGGCTATGGACGCACCCATTTTTTTCCCCTTTCCTCCGTGTCGTGTCATACGAGGATGAGGGAAGGGGTATTACACCTTGCTGCTGCTGGCTTAGCGTGGATTCCACGTCAGTAATCATGCTGTCTCTCCAGGGATGAGCTAGCTCCTTGCAGCAAGGTCCCTCGGGCACCCCACGCACACACGTCTGTGAACAAGTGTGGGGGGTGGTAGTGCAGTCGGCTTTTCCGATCATGCGCTGCGAACTGTTGCTGCCAGCTTAGCGTCACGTCAGCAAACATGCTGCCTCTCCTGGGGTGAGCTGGGTCAAGCAACAGCGTCCCTTGGGCACCCTGTGGATATGTCTCTAGACAATGGTCCTTCCTCAACTCGAGCCCGCGCACCGTCTATTTCGTCGTGGCTGTGGACGTCGGCCAATGACTTTGTAAGTATTGTACATAGTGTTCACATTGCTCTGGTTCATCGGGGGAGGTGATTTGGTCGGCTCATTTTCTAACCCTAACCCTACCCTGCTTAGGCGGTGGGAAGCGGGTCTGCGCTCCTCGGCTGTCTCCCAGCCCTGCATCGTGTTATGCCCGCCGCCGCCGCCGCTGTTGGTCCTCGTAGCAGCCTGAAAAGGAACGTACCTGGGGATCACAAGCACATCACCGAGGGACCGGGAGCGCGAGAGGAAGGGGGAACGGGCGAGGGAGAGGACTTGGAGAGGACAAGAGCAGGGGAGGAGAACGGGAAGGGCATAACACCAAGGTGCGTTCGCTATCTAGCCGCCGGCCGCACGCGTTCGGGGTACTGACATATGCTGTGACAGCTTACACAGTCCACTAAGCGGGACTGTGTTTCTCCGTCTGCAGCCTGTTGCATTCACGCGTGAAATCCCTCCTTCCCCCGCTGAATTCACTTGAATCAGCTCCCTGCAAGGGCCAGACACACTGTCCGAGCTCGCTTGCCCTTCGCCAAAACACTGTCCAGCTGCCCGCTTTTGCGGCTGTGTCTTTGGTAAGCCCATTGTTTTTATTTATTTTTATTCGCATGGTGACATGTATTCTAACTGTCCCCCGGTTCTGTCCTCCACACTTGCCCTCCCCCCTTCTCCCCCACACTTGACCCTCATCCTTCTCCACCCCTCATCATTACCCTCAGCCCTTCAGCACCCCGGCTATTGTTTACTACACTCATATACATGTAGCTTTAGAATAGTTTTGCAATATAATTTATTCATTGTGTGCATCTTTCCAACCTTAAATACTAAAGTATGTGTGTAGCACATATCCGGGAATTATGGATTTGAGCGCTAGCGGGCCAGCAATTGGCTCGCTTGCGTCGGGAGGGTGAGCGAGGATGCACGTACACACGAACACCCCTGAGTCGTGACGCGACGCGCGGGACAGTGTTGCAACAAACACTGTCCCACGCGACTTCGGCATCGGCCGCGTGATGTCACGTGCGCCGGACCATGCAATTCACGAGAGAAGCTAGATATAAAGCAGGCCGTTAACACTCCATATAACGGCTTCGTAGCTCAATGGGTAAGATGCTGAGGCCTACTCGGTGTGCCTGCGTTCGATTCGCGCTTGAAACTTTTTTTGCCCGGCGCAGATGCTCAAATTCTTTTTCTTTCTCACAATGTGCGCGGCGTTGCGAGGCATCCCAGGACATTTTCACAACATTTCACTCAGAACATTCGGTTGACATTCACGATGGTACGTTTGTATGCCGTTATGTAAATGTACAATTGATGTCACGCCGCAAGATGTTCCTGTGACATCCGCTGCCTTTGGGCGTGTAGTGTGTTGGGCTCGAGACGGTCACACCTCGGCTAACACCTCGAGGTGATCTTGAGCCACCTTGCGAGGTATAGTGCGGCTTCTCCAAGCCTTCTCGGCAAATTCGACAGCCTATGTTTCTGCCGAGTTTGCGGAAGCCCAAGCGGCCGCTCCCCCGACGAGATAAACCCAGCACGAGATAGTGGACAAATCACACGTATGCAAATAGAGATGCAGAGGCACCCGGGCACACCGTACCCAGGCTCGAGGGCAATACGACCTGTTCGTCGGAGAATCGTACGCTATCTGTGGGTGCGGTGGTTCAAAGATCAATCATTGGAAGTTAGCGCTTACCGCGCAATGCCATCAATCCCCTTTCTGAATCTTAATGCCAAGCATATCGCAACCTCCACCAGCGCTCATCATGTGGCCGGCGGCGGCATGGAACGATACTTTATCTAGCAATATCCGAGGACAGCAAGTTCTAAGTGCACTTGCGAGCTCGATGTGTCCAGTTTCCAGGCCATATGGTCATTCGGGAATGGCAAACCTGTATGTCTGCCCCAAAATAAAATCATTCTCACAGCGCACTAAGCTGATTGTTGCATTCACTCCGTGGACGTTTGCTTCGACGGGAAGACCACTAGAATTATTGATCAAACCCCTGTGCGGACAATAGGTATACAAATCACTCCCCTGTGCTCTCTCACAAGAGCAGGCATCGCTAGACGTCAAGCTTTTTCAAATATAAGCTCGGAAAGTGACGATAATAGCTCGAAAAGCAAGCCACAGTAAGTAGCCGAAGGGGCTTAGACGTAGTGTCTGTGCACTCTGGACTGGAGCTGGCTGAGTCGGCCATCGGACTTCAGGGTCCTTTGCAACGTTCATGTAACCAGCTATGACCAGGTTTTGCCCTACTAGTACTAATGGGCAATCCAACAAACCAAAAATCTACCACCCTTGCACCCCTGATACAACACGGCACTCTCAATGCAACAGGGTGTATTTTCTCGCTTATACACGCTACAGTCTCTTGTAGGGTGGTGGACCACATGTATACCAGCCCAATACCAGCCTACAGGTTGATATGTGAAATAAATTTCCAAGAAAAACGCCAGGGAGATCCCACCCAGGTACCGTGTTGCATTTGGAGTGCAAGGGTGGTATGTCCCTTTTGGGGCTCAGAGCTTCAGGAGAGTCGGACAGTTTCACCCTTTTTCCGGACTGTAGGACCAAGGAACGAGCGATTATGGCGCCGGTCGAGGCCGAACGGTGAATATTTGCATACCCTTTGATGGATATGGCTTGCATAATCAGACAAATGGCAAAGCTATGCGGATCCAGGAGGTTGCATTTTTACCAGGTATTTGCCGTCGTCTTCTCCACACTGCAAGCGTTTCTTTATAATAATAATAATAATAATAATAATAATAATAATAATAAATCATTACAACGTCCAGCGGGGCGGTGGCTCCATGACGGACGTTCTGAGCCGTATCGTACTATAACGTGTGTTATGCTACCGTATACCCGTTGAAACCTTCACATCTACTCGGTATCCCCCTGGGATGTGAGCAATGGGGGCTAGGACCGAGCGGCGGTCCTCCCGTGTCTGGTCGTGTTTTCCCTTCCCTTCTCGTCCCGTTCCTAGCCTCTCCGACATCTTCTCTCCTCCCAATTCCTTCTTCCCCTCCTCTTCGTCCTTAGCCCAAGCCCCCATTGTAACGAGTTACGCCTTTGAATAGATTTTTCTGCAGATGTCCCCGTATGTGTTCTTAAATCGCCCGGTTTCGTTCATATACCTCATCAGAGGTTGAATCGCTCGCTCGTTGGTGAGCAGGTATGGTAGTAGTGTTGCCGCGGCTCGGCTCGGCTCGAAGCTGAATCGTTCCCTCGTAAAAATAACACTTGAATTTTGTAGCGTAGGGTTATGTTTTGAAGTGACGACCGTGCGGCGACGATGGCAACTATGACATAATATTCACCTCACTAAATATTTTGTTGCCTCTGCTGTAATCCCATCCAATCGGCTTGAGCCAGCTCCCGAGCCACGGCAACACTACACCAACCTGTGATCTTGTCGCGTCAGCCACAAGTAGACAGATAGCCCCTGTCCTTCGTATTTGCTCTTATCTCGTATTCTGTCCCTACCTCCCTATCCCTACACCTTTGGCGTACAGATCATATCTAATCAGGACCGCTGCTGGCGCGGCTGTTCACATTATGAGGTGGTAGAGCTGCCACAGCTTGCCGGGTTGGATCAGGGAGCACAAGCACAAATCCATGTATTTCAAGCACATAATCCGGTGGTAATACAGGGCGAGCGAGGTGATACAAGAAGAGCTGAGACGCAGCTTGTGATTAGTCTAGGAAACATGCTGGGGGACGGAGGGCGGGTGACTTCAAGCTCTGGCAGGGCGCAGGGATGAGTAACCGTGCACCGAGCTAGCTACTAAAAGACAGTTTGCCTGGCAGGGTGCGGGGATGAGCAACCTGGGGCTCCTGCTGCCTGCGTCCTAAAATGCGGGCGACTTGCTGGCACCCGAAAACAAGAATGAGTGCCATTGCAAATAATGTCAATTGGCGCAGCGTCTGCTCCATTGCAACTGTAACGAGAGCGCCTCCCGAACATGCGTGTTTATTTGCTGCCGGTACCCGGGGTTGTGAGGGCGTGGTTGTCAGTGAGAGAGTTGCTCGCTGGCGTGTGCGTAGAGCATGTCTTCATGCGCACCCGGAGCACTGGCAACACACAAGGGTGTCATGCACTCGTGCGCACTCAACCAGGCTGGGACTGATTAGACGAGAGTAATGAAATTCATCACTGGTGGAGTTATGAGAAAACTCAATAATGGTATCTGCATGCAACACGAGCAGTAGTACATCGGTCGTCTCAGGCTATGCACCTCATGGAAGGGCGATTGCTTACTGACTGGGAGGGCGCGAGGCTCATCAGTAAAAGCGCCATTTTCTTGCCGACTTGCCAAGCTTGTAAGCTTGCCGACAAGCCGACAAGACACTGTCACTACAAAAATCATACATGTTGGCTGTAAAAACATACCAGAACTTATACTATCGACGTTTGCATCTTGAAACTGAGTTCCGGGGCTGGAATATGACCTGTGGAAGTCTTAAACAACTGAAACGAGGGCAGCTTTTTTGACTTGTAGGCACTTGTCCGTGTAATCTCCACTCTGCCGAAGACCGACTTGTAGCAAGAATAGACTTGTCTTGCCGGCTTGGCGTCTTGGACCAATTGTTACCTTGCCGTCGCTTGCACAAGGTTGCTCAAGGTTGCACAAGCCGCGGCAAGTTTTTTTCAAGTTTACTGATGAGGATATGGACTGGAGAGCTGGTGGTGCTGTCGAAGCTGGAAAGGGATGGCTGAGATCGTCGTCGGGCTCGACAGCGCACTGCTTGCCCTTGCTGCTCACCGATGGGGTGGAGGACTGAAGCGCAGGGTCAGCACACAAGAGGGCTTTGTCAAGGGCGAGAGCCAAGGACTGAGAGCTCGACGTGGCCTCAGATGCAGATGGCCCAGCATGCGAGTGAGATCGCTGTGGACGAAGGTCGGCATGCGGGGGTGCCGACTTGCATCCGCCCAAGAAGCTGCAGTGTGTAATGTAGCCCTGTTGTTCTTGACAGAGAGACGAGTCCTCTTCTTGCGAGCTGTCGTAGTCGCCTTCGCGTTTGACACGATTTCGCGGATCTGAACTGAATGGCCGGACTGATGGGATGCGGGGCGGACGGCTGGACGGCTGGACCGCCGGAAAATGCGGATTCCGCGTTATCCTCCGGTGCCTGGACGTATCTGACATGGACATGGGTGACAGCCCGTGATAGCGGAGTTGAAATCGAGAGTTTCAGCCTTATAATAGGATGCGCACGCCTTGGTCCTTTTACCCCTTCTTTACCCGCTTTGGGTTTCCCTCCACCCATGCCTAGCTCGGGCGCAGTCATTTTCGAATCTCAGCCATCTCTTTCCGTGCCCATCATCCAGTCCTTGGGATCTAAAGCAAGCTATGTGTTAACCACCAACAACATCTCCGAGCTAGTATTACTCGAAAACGGAGTCGAAACAAGACGGACTGTTGTTTCTCCTTTCTACGCCAGAGCTTTACATGCTTTCAGCTACAAATATGAGCTTATCAAGTTCACTATTCCCAAGATACCTTCATCAGGAATAGCAACGGAGGCAGTTCGATCGGCCCTTCTACGCGTCCTCTGGTACATGGACAGCGTGAGAAACAGGGTCTTCACTGATTTGATGAACACTTTTGCTCGCACTCCTGGACATTGTGCGGCGTTTGACTACTATCTATGGCTTGATTGGCTCTCGGCCAAACATTCGTTGCTCAAATGGTGCTCTGGGCAACACGATCAGAGAATCAGGCATATCGTTTGCGAGCGATTCGGTGTCACCTTTGAATCCGTATCGACTGGTGCTAATGCGAACATTGAAGATATCTGTGAGTGGCAGTTTAACTACGCTCGTCCTTCATAGAATATCTCACGGACGAGGTTGCGATGTTCTCCGCAGTTGATTGGAAGAAGTTCTTCGCTACCTACCGCATTGAATTCGTGGACGTCTGCGGTTTTAACTATCGGCCACAGAAGTCAACGATGGCTGACGGGCCTCCAGACGCGGCGAAATGGGCCCTCGCCATAACAAATGCTGTGGAAGCACAGCCCAGGGCAGTAGCAGAGACAGGGGTACTTCCTTATCCGGTATGATTTCAATACCTCTATAGGCGGCCTCTTGAATGACCACATCACAATTGCATGTTTGCTTCTCTGTCGACACTGCTTATCTGGTCGTAATGGCACTATTCAATGAGCAGCAGCAATCTTTAGCCTCCCGACTGAGGGAATCTGCTTCCGCTGGCCATCACGTTGGCCAAGGCTCCAAGTGCACGGACAGGCAGGGACGGCGCATTCAGAAATACTCATCAGAAGGAAGGGTGTCAAAGAGGGCTAAGGTACAAAACCATAACAATCGTCAAGGTAATGCCCGTATCCATAGAAATGCGTTGTGGGTGAGTAATTCCTGGCACGTTCATATCAATGGATCACTGATATTTAGTATTGCTCGGGTGTTACGGCACGCAATATAGATATCCGAGCACATCGAAAACTATGTTCCTTCCGATGCCGTCCTGAACGAGAAGCTATCTCGGACATGGCGGAAACTGAACCAAGTTTAAAGAATGTGTATCCGCAAATCGGGACCCCATGCTAGTGTTTTTTTTGGTGACATATTGCCCCTCCACCTCCAATGCAACCGACACCCTCAATGCAACATGCACTGAATGCGCTATCCCTGGCCTTTTTCTTAGAAAACTGTATCGTATATTTACCTGTAGGCTTGTATGCATGTGTTCCACCAACCCATAGGAACCTGTAGCGTGAACAAACAAACAAACATACTCTGTTGCGTTGAGGGTGCTGTGTTGCATCGGGGGTGCAAGGGCGGTACACTCAGATGCCCATCAGGTTTGCCCACTTTGAGTCGTTGTCCACTCAGCCCGTGTTGTAATCCTGTGTTAGTTATCGCTCGCATCATGATGTGTCGATTTATCGTATAGATTCCGAGTTTTATTTATTTATATATTCATGTCGTAGCTACTCGAATTATTCGCGCGATTGATCTTCGGGCACCCTCTTCTTGCCCGGGACAGACGCGTTGTGCGTCGTCGCGAGCCCGTGTGACCTTGATTTTCTACAGCCCGACATGCTGGAATCGGCCCCAGCTCCAGCAAATGGTGGTGCCGTCTCCGCAGAAGCACCAAGTAGTGTGATCGCCATGACGCCCCCAACTCCAAGACACGCGTCCCCGCAAGACTCGGGAGGCATTCGCAGACGAACATCCCTCCTCTTCACACCCGTCACGGAACCACTCGCTGCTGGGGTCAGATGTAATGAGTCCTCCCACCCAGCCCCTTAGATGGATCCTTTCCTCCACATAAGGGACGTCTATTGCTAGAATTCCGCACCATGAACGCATGACTAGTGTTGCCGCGGCTCGGCTCGGCTCGAAGCTGAATCGCTCCCTAGTGAAAATAACAATTGAATTTTGTAGCGTAAGGTTTATGTTTCGAAGCGATGACTGGCAGCGACGATGGCAACCATGACATGACAATTACCTCACTAAGTATTTTGTTGCCTTTGTCGTAAGCCCACCCAATCGGCTTGAGCCAGCTCCCGAGCCGCGGCAACACTACGCATGACCTCTCCGTGAGAAGAGGCCCCCAGGCACTCAAGTAGGTACTGTAGAAATTCGAGGTCGCACGGGCTCGCGACGACGCACAGCGCGTTTGTCCTGGGCGAGGGGAGGGTGCCCGAAGGGGAATCGCGTGAAGATTACGAGTATCTACGGCAGGATTATATAAATAATAAAACTGGGAATCTATACGATAAAAACGACACGTCATGATTGCGAGCGAGATCCGAACATAATTCCAACAGGTACCATTACGTAAGCAGCGGAAGTCCATACAGTCGACTCCCTCTAAAGGCATACCCGTCTAAAGGCACAAGGCAGCCTCGCTGCGCTACGGCACTTGGGGATCTTGCCCTACTATGTTGCTCTATGGGAATCGCCATCCCATTGTACTGGAAACGAAAACTCGAACACGAGTAGACACAGTGCCCGTGGATATCTGTCGTGCAGTCCAGAACCCTACATCGTATACAAATCCCGAGCACCAACACGAGATATGCCACAGCCACAAAGCCAAACATGTACAATGCCAAGCCGGGCATAATTTTGAATATACGAGTAAATATACGAGTAATACTCCCTCATGAGGCATACCTTTTCGGATTTCCCGAGTTGGTTGGCAGGGAATCAACGCCCTAAAGGCATACCCCCGCCTAAAGGGTTAAGGCAGAGGAGTGAGCTCATAATGGTTTCGAGACAAATTTAGATGCTTGCGTAGTATGCATTGCAGTATATCAACCTGTAACTACAATACTGTTGACCCTGAATAGGCGGGACAACCTCAGGGGTATGCCTTTAGCTACCCCGACAGACAAGGCACTCAAGGAGCATCAAACTCCTCGAGCGTCACGTCGAGTTTCTGCACGCTGAGATTGATCTCCTGGCTTGTCTCAAGGCCCGAGAACCCCTCACACCAGCCACAGGGGTGCTGAGAGCAGGGGAAGCGCGCTAGAACATGACATTAACTGGGATGGATGATGTTGATGACGAGCCTGAAGCTGCCGAGGAGCATCCAAAGGCTCAGGAGGTTATTCGGGCATCCAATCTCATTAATACTTACATTGCAGCTTTAGATGATCCCGCCACTCGGAAGCTGGAGGTTCTCCCAAGTTGGATCACTGAACCGCCAGCTCCGCCTTGAAGAAACATCGAAGCTGAAGGAGAGTCGACTGACTACTTCAAACGTACATAGATAGCATAGAGTATCTAGAGTAATAGAGAAATCGTCGTGGCGTTAAAACTTCCCTGCCAAAATTAGCCCCTATTTTTTCGAATCCCTCCCTAATGGCATACTCCGCCTTAAGGCATACCCTGGAGCATTTCCCGAGGAGTATGCCTTTAGAGGGAGTCGACTGTAGTGCACTGGGATTAGTGCCACACTACACGACCGTCCGTCTGGGTAGGAGAGTGCAAAGCATATAACTTTTCGACCTCTCAACGTTTACACTCTTGCTTTTCTGTGCTTAAGTGTCAGTGCACACTCCATTTCTAGACAGGTGTCATGCAAAAGGCGTCAATGGAAACTTTTCCACTGCTCCTTTCCCGACTAATAGTGATCGAAACATTATAACAATTCTATGCTTTTTACAGTCATCATTTGTGACGGAAAAATCCCGCTTTGCCTGCAGTGGTAACATCCTCTATTCCCCCCCGTCTCCTCGCGCTGCCTATCGACGACGTCCTGGCCTAGATAGAGCCACTATACTTTTTCCCCTCGTCTGGAATCTATTGGGGCAAATACATTTCACGTTGAAAGATTCATATTTATGCGAGATGGAATCGTTGAGACGACCTAGACAAAAAGACCAAATGTATCGAGTCAATTCCAGGTAGACTGCGGCTGAAATCAGAAGCTGGAGGATGGGCCGCGCTGGATGCAACCTACAATACAGGCATAGGAATTACCTAGTGGCAGTGAACAAATGTTTGACATACTCACATGAAGTACACAAGACAGAGCCTGCCTCCCTTTTGATCTGACTCTGACCCAAAAGTCGATACTGAAGTACTAACCTCAACCTCAACCTCAACCTTCACGCGTGCTTTTGCAAAGCTTTAAGTTGACCATACACACGGCAGGGAAAATTCTGAATATACCAGTAATCTGTCTGGTAACGCATGTGAGTGTTGCACACGCCCTAGGGAGCGATAGTAGTAGCAAGCGATGTAGAGATTATTATAAGATAAGTGAAACAATCAGCGGTGACAGATACCACCCGCACGAGACACTTTCCAGCTTCATTTGATCACGTCTCAATCCATCGGAAGTTGTCTACCGCCTCCTTCAACAGCTCTACAACGCCAATAAATGCTTCTTCCATTTCCTTCAACCCTGCCTGCACGTGTACCGATAGAATGCGGAGACGTAGCCCGATGCTCTCGCGTCTACAGATTGTCTTGGAGAGGTCTTCAGCCGCATTTGAGGTTATGTGCGCGCCTTGTTTTGCAGTGTAGTACCCGCTGCAACGCCATCGAATGTTCATTTCTTCCAGCTTCGGTAGCGGTGGACAAGACCCGGAGAGTTCATTCTGCTTTGGCTCGTTGCTAGAGGCTAGCTCGGCCAAGATGTTGCGCAGGTCCAACGGATCTGATTCAAGACAGATTAGTCGAATGTTACCCATGGCGCTGAAGACAGCCCCCCATGAAGCAGCAAAACTCGGGGAGTCTGAGAAAAGATATAGTGCAGTAATACTTTGTGCAGTAGTGCTAGTGGTAATGATCGGTGACAGCGATGTGGGTGGCAAATCGCGCTCAAAGAAGCCGGCCAGGAGATGGAAAGTGCACTCTAGCTCTGCAAGTCTGTTCTCACAGCTCCTGCAGACGTCAAAGTCGGTAATCTGCTGGGGGTTGTGATCGCACTGCTGGAAAAATGTGGAGTTCACAACACTTCCGTGGACGTTGATTCGAAACGTCCTTGGTACCTCTACCCCCCTGCACGAAGGACGAGAGCTATTCCTGTCAGAAGTACGTGGGTATGCAACGACAGGGAACAGCAAAGCATGCGTCGAAGGACGTCGATCCCTGTAATCAATGTTTTGGACGTTCAACCGAAACTGTGGTGAGACTCGGAGCAAAAACACCAGGTTGGCATACTGGTCGTAAGTTGAGCTGAATTCCCAGAGATGCAGGTTAGGAAGATGGACAATGAGGTCTGCGGGTAGACCCTCCCATCCTTGACTAATATCAATAACTGGAACTTCGTCGATGTGGAAACCCTCGCCCATTCTCAGTATTTGGAGGGACAGTGTCCGCTGAAGGATCTCGATGAGATCACTGGCTCTGAACACCACAGATGTTTTGGCCAGCTCGAGCACCGTGAGAGTCTTGCACCAGAGAACCGAATTCGATGGGAGGATGAAGCCTATCAAGGATACCTCTCGGAGACACGGCGCACCCCCGGACAATAATGAATTCAAGACAGCATTATTGGCTTGGATCTCCAAGTTGACGATCCTAGGGTGGTAGGATGATAGATCAAGCTTCAGGACTTCGAGGGCAGGGGCATTTCTGTGAGCCAGGTTGCTGAGCGTATCATTGACGTGCCTGGCGGTATCCTCGAACAAAAAATGCAGGACGCGGACCCTTGATAGCACCTTGGGGGCCATTGTGTGCTGAATGAGCTGGAAAAAGCTTCCCTCGTATGGTGCGATTGATGTCAGAGTAAATGTAAGTTCGAGGGGGGCAAAGTGAGAACGTTTGAGACCCTCGTATTGTGTGAACCACCCGGTATTGCTGCCCCTCCTGCTACTCTCTTTCGCATGTATCCTGGCCCATAAAGACGGCGTTGATTTGGCGACTTGGTAAAACCGTCTGCATACTTGCAGAAGCACCCATATATCGTCCGGAGGACATTGAAGGAAGATTGAGGATAATTCTTCTGTAGCAAGCCGGTCCATGGGGCTGACCATCAGTGGGTGCCGTGTGACGGATGCGCAGTGATATTTGGAAGTCGCTGACTCGGAGCGATCGAGTGGCTCGTGTGAATGCAGCTGATATGCTTGGGCGTTTATAGCCACACCGTGGTGTGACTGAACCTTTGGAAGTCTCCTCTGAGCTGTCCTCTTGCATGGGATTTGGGATACTTTCCATGAAGGTCTGTTAGTTCTGCTTCAAATCCGATTCTGAAGGTCCTCACTTTATTCTGTTACACCACTGGACTGTGAAGCATCCAACGTCAAACACGTTTTGCAGAAGTCAGCGCTGGATAACCAGAGAGGCTGAAGGACAAGGCTACTGTCAGATGGGAGAAGCGGCGGGATGCACAGAAGGGTTGAGAGGATAAAACAGACCAACCGACGCTACGTGGTAGTGACGATGACATAATATTGATGCCAGACCGACCTCAGTTGGCGTTACGTACAATACCACTTAGGGGCCACAGCATCACTTGCTAAATGGTCCAAGAAATGTAATCACTATCTGGTACAAACCCAACTTCAGCTTCGTAACTTGATACTATACCGCCCTTGCACCCCCAATGCAACACGGCACCCTCAATGCAACTGGGTGTGTTTTCCCTTTTGTTCACGCTACAGTTTGTTCTGGGCTGGGGAAACACATCTATACAAGCCTACAGGTCAATATATGATATAATTTTCTACAAAAAAGGTCAGGGAGAGCGCATTCAACACATGTTGCATTGAGGGTGCCGTGTTGCATTGGGGGTGCAAGGGCGGTACTGTAGTTTTACGACTTGAAAATGGTATGGAGATGCCAGTGCAGTAGTTGTTGCACGCGCAAAGTCAATGCGTGGAGCTTCAGTCGGCCTTGAACCAACTGATACTATGATGTGAATGCAACCTACCCCTAGGTCATACTATTCACCAGGAAGGCACATTCACCTTACACTACCTTTCTGAATAGTGACGATCACCACACCATCCGGAGCTTTTCACCTCATCCAACCTCACGGTGATAGGAAGAAATTCAGTTGCGCCCTTCACTTTCCCTGCTTATGAGGTGTATTTCTGTCCAGTGTATCCTTGAGGGTGATGTTGACAAACTGTATTAGCATTCATCTTGAACCATATTGTGGCCAATCACTATTGGTGCATGATGGAGCCACTGGGGGAAGACAGACTGCATGCTGTTGGTTCTGTGAGTACAGAAGAGAGGGAGAGAAGACAGAAGAGACTGACCAGTGATATAGAGATTAATAAGTCAAAAGGATCATAGAATGCAGTATGGGCCACCATGGCGCCTTAGATATGAAATAAAACATCTCATATTCAAGGCGCCATGGTGGGGACTCATACTGCATTCTGTGATCCTTTTGACTTATTGATCTCTATATCACTGGTCAGTCTCTTCTGTCTTCTCTCCCTCTCTTCTGTACTCACAGAACCAACAGCATGCAGTCTGTCTTCCCCCAGTGGCTCCATCATGCACCAATAGTGATTGGCCACAATATGGTTCAAGATGAATGCTAATACAGTTTGTCAACATCACCCTCAAGGATACACTGGACAGAAATACTGTACCTACACGACCGTAGGTTCAAGGGATTTCTGCGTGATATGAAACTAAGATAAGTTCCGACAAGGCTGAAGTTCAAACGGCCGGTGAACGCGTGATTTTGAACTAGGGTCACAGGTTGGTGATATCATCAAGGCATTATTGCTGAGGACAACGAAGGTGCTGGTGAAGAGGTTGTTTCATTGGAAGTAGCAGGCAACGCGGGTGCACCTTTTACATCGGGTGTGCTCCTTGTCCGTTGGGCTTGTGTGTAGGCGTCTCAAGCCCTTGCGACCGATATGGCCGACTCGTTGAAGCCTGCCAGTGATGAGCTCGATATCCCATCTCCGGCCGACTGTGGTTGTGTCAGTAAGGGTCTCAAAAATCTTTAACTCACATTACAAGGATTGCAGAAAACACGCTACAGCAAACAGCTATACTACATCAGAATATAAGTTGAGAAGCTTAGTTGAGAGGCTTGGTATATTTTGTCACGCGGAGAGGTTCAAGCGTGAGGCGTGACGAACCTACGGTCGTGTAGGTACAGTACAAAGGGCCAAGCGTCCTCGTGTGAAACCTACTTTCATTAGCGGTGAAGTATGGAAATGTGGTTAACTAAGTCATACCGGTAGCGTGATATCATCTGTATGTGTTCGTAGAGAGCTATCATCTGAGTACTCATTCGAGTCTGAGCGACGCTCATCTTAGCATGGGTGGCATTAATACAAGTGAACAAGCGCATTAAAGTGTTGGAAAACATACCTCTGCGAGATCTTTGTGCACTGAGTCCTCCCTGGTCCCTTCCTATAGCGTGCCCTGCCCTTCCTCCCTCCTCCTCTTCACAGGGTTGTCAGCTTCTGCATTGGTGTGCAGCCGTTTACGCCCAAAAACGGAACCAACAAGCGGGGGTCCAGAGTAGCGAGTTAAAAGAGAGTTGAGGACCAAATGGTCCGAGATGGATGGCTGGTCTCTGCGGCCACTAGTGCTGGCAACAGAGTCGGCTTGGTGACACGTTTTGGGTCGCCAAGATTCCTGGAGAGGCAGATAGTGCAATCGCAGTCATTTTAATACCCATTTTCATCGTCTGGATTGTGAGCTGTGCGAGAGGGACGTGGGGATGCCATGCCAATGCGTGGTGGTGTGCGCGTGGACCAGAGAGAGAATGGACTTAAGCGCTTCTGGCGTTGGTGATGTTCCCGCCTTGAGTACGTTGGCTCAATATTCAATAGAAATTCCGGAGGCTCCGATTCAGATTGGTGGCGGGCAACGCCCGCCAGCAGCGCGGGACGCTTACATAAGCCAAAAACGCCTATCTTGTCTGAAAACCTGTCACGAACTCACTCTCGACATATACCGAATTGCACTGATGCGATCCACTTAAAAACCACATAGGAGCGTCTTTTATGTGCGTATATAGATGGCCAACTCAAATATATAAGCAAAAGATAAGTAACTGTGCGAGATAAGAGCATTATATCTTGGCAAGTATCTTAGCGTCTAATACCTGGCTTTGGCAGCACAAAGGTCGCTAGACAGCATATCTACACGTCTGGAAAGGACTCAGACTTAAGCTGGGGGAGTTTTTGAAAGTTATGAAGAACCCATGAGGTAGTTTACATACTCGTCTCGTGTCTCGCGGGCCAACATAAGCTGCTGCATTTGCGGGATCTTGATGTTGCAATCTGTCGGCCCATACATGAAAGTAAAATCGTCTAAACCCTTCTTATTTATTATTTATGAGCTGATTCAGGTTACAACATAGGTATGTAACCAATGCCGGGCCTATCGTACCACGTTTGCCTCCGTCCTGAGGCTGTTATTGCTGTCGCGACGGCTCTGACCAGGCTGATGGGGTTCTTGGCATTTCTCGCGGGTGTTCAGCGCCACGGTTCGGCGTTCGGCACAGTCTCGCCAGAAAATCAACTATGCGTGATGCGCGCCACCGCGCGTCAGCCCCTGAGTACTCCCGCGCCCGCGCCCTCCTAGTATATAGATGTCGATCTACAACTCTTGTATCCTCTTAACGCGCTATAAGATGGGTATATTCACTTTATTATCCCTTCACACCCTCGTCGAGCGAAATCCCAGCTTTCGAACACATCATATTTCCTCTATGCAAATGACCGACTTCGTTGACTATTGCTGCGACTTTCGCGCCGATTTCGTGAATTAATGCGCAACAAGAAAAGCGCGACACAACTGTAGCGCCGCCCGCTATACCTCTCGCTCGCTCCTACTATATCTCTCGTAAAACCAGGATCCCAATCTCCTTGTTATGTCCTCTTTGGGACATAAGTTTTCAAGGACACAATCTGGATGATCCCCCGCGCTCAAGAGCGCATCAATGCCTGCATTTATACAATGGAGGAGGACGGCTGAGAGTATGGTATAGGTGCGTTATTATTCTGTTACTGACTGGGCGAGTCTGATACACAATGTATACACAATATTACTACGTTTTTCCCGATTGACCAACACATTCGTGCGTCGCGTCCCTATTCTCCTGTGGCGGGGGAAAGGGAATATGTGGGTCATTATTTCAGTCGTGCCTGGGACAGTTCGGGACACAATCAGCTCTCCTTATGTATAGGTCAGCACCCGCCCAACAAGATATGTACCAACCACATCGTGCCTCTTATCCTAGACCCATTGAGCCAGCCCAACACAAACCACAGCCCGATACTTTATTTGAAAGTCTGTTAAGTACTAAGGTGAGTAGTTATTGTTGGGCAAAACTAAAGAAACTGTCAAAGCCGGTGGCGAGCCCCATCAAGTGTTGATTCCACTCGGGTTAGTGTAGACCGAATATATGTAACACATTTTAATTCGGGCTCAGATCTCGAATGAAAAGGCATATGCAAGTGTTGGGCTGGCAGTGCTGCCGGGGCGATAACGCCCGCGGATTTCTTCATTGTAATGATGACTGCCTAGAACGAGGGGACATCTGGGGACATGTCTAAATCATGATCGTGTGCTTTAACCCTGACCGGGACCCCCGATTTCTTCGCCGAACTTAGAAGGCGAACGCCGAACGCCGAACTCCAAAAGATCCCCATTCCCCATCGTCCTCGCCTTGTTCACATTAATCACATGACCGATAGGAAATGGCAAACCCTCGAATGCGACCTACGGTATTGCACTCCGGCGCTCTACAGTGCCACCCTTGCACCCCCAATGCAACACGGCACCCTCAATGCAACAGGGTGTGTTTTCCCTTTTGCTCACGCTACAGTTTGTTTTGGGCTGGTGAAACACATCTATACAAGCCTACAGGTCAATATATGATACAGTTTTCTAAGAAAAAGGTCAGGGAGAGCGCATTAAACGCATGTTGCATTGAGGGTGCCGTGTTGCATTGGATGTGCAAGGGCGGTACCACTGGTAGGGCTCCAACCATATAGTGTACGTAAATAGTTTATATGTTTACAACTGTATAGTATACTGTATAAGTGTACGGGTGGGCCTATATGGTTTATACTTTGTATGTAAACAGTTTTCTATTGTTTACAAGACATTATAGCATCGTAGTACGTCTGTAAGTGCTCAGAGACGTTTGAACTGCACTCAAAATAATATAATCTTGTGCTGGTCCCAACAATAATGCTTGTTTTTGAATTGGACAAATAGAGTAATTATTCCTGACTCCACCAGCATGATCAGGCACTAGTATATTTGCTGGGCACTCGCACCTACACTGAATAACCATGAATGAAACAAGCACAACTTATAACAAGGTATACCTCCACCCAATATCTGAATCCTGTGTATCTAACCTCTTCCCAGCTTCGTGCTATAATTCGACAGATTATCAGGGTTTCAGCCCAGTGTGTACGTTTCTGTGCAATTGTGGAGCACCTCCAGATATCCCACCATAATGGCCT